CTCTAGGGGGACTGTGTGGGGCACTGAAAGCTGCTCCATCTCTTTTATTAAATTACCTGGGGCGAGAAGGCTACAGACAGCTTTACTGCCTGCCTAAGTCCATTAGCATAAGGACCATAACTCTCAAGCATGATTTATATGCATGCATAGTGGCAGAGCTGAGCCACAGGGCTGGCCCTGGCAAGGCTCCTTCTCTGATGGAAGAAGCTCAGTAAGAGCCCAGAATTTGAGCCCTCTCTGAGCCTGACCTGAACACAGCTGCTCTGACCGTGGTTTCCGGACAAAGACATTATCTTTTGGAGCCTGAATAGAATCTAAAGCTGTCTTGATGTCGGTTTTGGCAATTTCCTGGTGGGGGAGGCAGGAGGGAGGGGTGTGTGTGTGTGTGTGTGTGTGTGTGTGTGTGTGTGTGTAAGGAGGGACAGTTAAAAGTCATCTATAGACAAACCTTCCGCAAGAGATTAGTTTTGTATTTTAAGATAACAAATCTTATACCCAACTTGGTATGCTCACCAAAGCACTTAGCACAGTGCCTTTATGTGCTTAGTAAATATTTGTGTATTAGGGGTGCCCAAGGCAGAATTCATATAACAAATATATATTAAGCACCTACTGTAAACATAACAAAAATAGCTTTATTTAGCTATTTTTATTATTGTTGGTCCTAGGGGCAAGATCCTTAACCTTGAAGGACTGGGGTCCCAGTCTCTAGTGACAATCCTTCAGACATTCAGTGCTGTGGTGGGGGAGGACACATGACAATCAATCAGCAAGCATTTATTAAGCACTCACTGAATGCCAGACACTGTATTAAGTACTGGAGATAGATACAAAAACCCAATGACAGCCCCCGCCCTGAAGGAGCTTACATTATATAAGAGGAAAAAACAAATACATATAAATGTATATACATGTCCAGGTATATACATATATACATATATTTACACAAATGTACATGTACACACAAATATATGTGTCAACACACCCACATATGTGTATATATACATATGTATATGTGTATACACATATACACACATGTATATTTTAGGGAGAAGGGTACTAGAGCTAGAGAAAATCACACTAATGCTGAAGTGCTGGGATAGGGAAGAGTCATCTTTTCAAGTTTTTTTTTTCCAATTTCTTATCTACATTATAATGACCAAGAGTTGGGAAATACAACTCTCCACTCACTTCTTTGCAGAGGTGGGGGCTATAGTTGTTGCATTGGTTGGTTTTTGATGAACTGCTTCCCCCATCCCTTTTTAAATCTTTTTGATAAGGGATGGCTTGCTGAACAGGAGAGGAGGGAAAGCTACATTGGGAAATGAAGGTGTTATAAAAATAAGATATTGCTAACAATAAGATTTTTTAAAAAACATTCACCTATATATCCTTTTAGACCAATGATGAGGTTGTTAAATTTTATTTTATCATGGCACCTCTCCCTGCTTTGGCAAGTCTGGTGAAGTCTATGGATCCTTCCTCAAAATATTTTAAAGTGCATAAAATAGGATTATCAAGGAAACCAAAGGTTAGTGAAAATAAAGATATAATTTTCCCCTGTCCAATTTCATGGAGCCCCTGAAATTTTGGGGTCCATGGACCCCAGGTTAAGAACCCTTGTTTTAGACCCAGTCAAATGTACATGAAAACATGAATCTATGATGATATAATGACCCTCTTGGAATAGAACTACAGAAGATGAGAAATGAAGGGAACCTCCTTTTCTAGGAATTCTTTAATCCAGGGGTGGGGGGAACATGTGGCCCCAGAACAATGTTCTGTGGAGTTTGGATTCAGTCAAAGGGCCACACTTGAGGACCTAGAGGGCCACATGTGGCCTCAAGGTCACAGGTTCCCCACCCCTGCTCTAGTCCAACCCCTCTTTTTACAGAGGAGCAAACTGAGGTGCAGTGGATAAAGCTGGTGGCACAGTGGCTAGAGTACTGGGTCTGGGGTCAGGAAGACCTGAGTTCAAATCCAGCCTCAGACACTTACTAGCTGTATAACCTTGGCAAGTCACTCAGCCTCTGTTTGGCTCAGTTTCCTCATCTGTAAATTGGGGATAAAAACAGTACCTACCTCCCAGGGTTGTTGAGAAGATCAAATGAGATAATATTTGTAAAGTGCTTGGCATATAGTAGGTGCCATATAAATGTTAGCTATTATTATTATTATTTAAAGTTACCACAACTAGGTAAGAGCAGAGCTGGAGCTAGAACTCAGATCTCCTGACTCCCAGTCCCCTCTCTTTCCCTTATCCTTTCCTGCTCATTTGGAGGGTTTCAGCCATCATCCTTTTTCTCTTTTAACTCCCTTGTACAGGGACAGGCCAGATCAGATAGTATGGTCCTCTCTACTTACATTAAAGCTTCTGTATCCATTCCAGAAGGCTTGTGGATGGTTGAGCCTGTTACACATTTTTGTCACATTCATTCATTCATTCAGCAAATATTTACTGAGATTCATCTGTGTGTTGACTGCTAGAGGTGAAGGGAGTGTGTGATGTGTGTGTATGAGTGTGTGTGGGAGAGGATACCAAGATGTGTATTTACTATCTTGCAGCATGTAACTAAGCCCTTCCTGGAGGTACTCAGGTCATTGCCTGGGGATATCATTTTACACTGACCCTTACAGCCTCAGGCTTCATCAGACTTCATCGGCAAACCTAGGCAAAGGTTTATATTTAATCTTCAAAATCTAGGGGTGGGAATGAGAAAGAAGAAGCCAGGCCATTATATCGATTTGCTCCCACTGCAAACACTTCTGTATAAAATAAATGCTTAGATGATTAACCCACCTCCTGTGAAAGTGAAACAGGTTTCCACTTGTCTCCTCATGTTTAGGACATTATTTGAGAGAAAGACCAACTCCCAAGTCCCTTGGAGTCAAGGAATCACTATTTATTCTAAGGGTGTAACTCAAGTTTTTTAAATTAGGTTTTTGAAATTCTAGTTGCAACCAGATCTCCGTTACCTGCACTTGAGGAAGAGAGTTTGGGCAGGGAGACTCTAGAAGTCTTAGTTCTAGAGCAGAGAGGAACTCAGAAATCTTCTGATCTAATGCTCTCATTTTACAAATGAGGAAACTTAGGCTCAGAGATGTTGCCCACAGTCACAAAAGTAGTATGCATCAGAGACGGGATTTTGAACCCCAGAGTCAATACTTTTCCCATTTTATCATGTCAGAACATGCCAACCAATCAATAGGCACTATTGGGCACCTACTATGTATCGGGCACTGTGCCTTCTTGTTGAAGATTTGCATTCCCTAATCATGTTTTGTTTTAACTGCTGTTAATGTGAGTTCTGGGCACTCACCAACTGACATTTGGGTCACAGAGGCCCACAGTGCAGCCGGATGGCAGGGAAAAAAACATCCAAGATACCCAAAATGGTTATGGCTAATCTAGAGCATAGATTAATATACACATATACAGATTAATGGGGCAGCCAGGTGGTGCAGTGGATAGAGCACCGGCCCTGAAGTCAGGAGGACCTGAGTTCAAATCTGGCCTCAGACACATAACACTTACTAGCTGTGTGATCCTGGGTAAGTCACTTAACCCCATTGCCTAGTCAAAAAAAAAAAGAAAGAAAATATACAGATTATAACAGATCAGACATTCACAGAAGGGTGGATCATATCAGAGGCAGTATGTTGTAGGGCAAAGAATATTGAACTTATGAGCCAGAGGAACTGTATTCAAATCCTAGCTCTGCCACTTCTATTTGAATCTGTGACCTTGGCCAAATCACTTATTTGTCTGGGCCTCTGTTTGCTCAAGTGGAAGATAAGGGGGTTGGACTAATTACTTTCTAAGTCCTCTTCTAGCTTTTAAGTCTGTAATGTGATGAAAATTCAGTTTAGTCTGACTTCATCAGCTTAATTTTCTTTTTTCTTTCTTTTTTTTTTTTAGCTAGGCAATGGGGTTAAGTGACTTGCCCAGGGTCACACAGCTAGTAAGTGTTACGTGTCTGAGGTCACATTTGAACTCAGGTCCTCCTGACTCCAAGACTGGAGCTCTATCCACTTCGCCACCTAGCTGCCCCATCATCAGCTTAATTTTCAAAACAAGATACATAGATTATTTTAGTATTCCATAGAAATTCTTTGATACTGAAGAATAGCTCTTAATCTGATATCAATTTCCATATATATCTTGGAAATGAGACCTTTATCAGAGAAACTTATAGCACAGATTTCCTCCGGTACCTGTTTTCCTTCTAATTTTTAGTACATTGGATTTATTTCTGCAAAAACTTTTAAATTTTACAGAATCAAAATTGTTCATTTTATCTTGGGTAATTCTGTCTGTTGTTTGTCCATTTACCTAAATGAACTCGGAGTTCTTTTGAGAGTGAGGACTTTCTCTTTATCATCAGGCTGAGAACTCCCAAGTTATAGTTAGCAATTCCATCTTCAAGTTATAGTTAGTGATTCTATCACTTGTTTACTCATGAACTCTTTCCCTATCCATAGATCTGTTAAGGTAATTTCTTCCTTGCTCCTCTAATGTGTTTATTATGTGACTGTATGTATTTAGGTCGCATATCCATTTGGAACTCATACTGGTGTATGCTGTGAGGTGTTGGTCTAAATCGAATTTCTGCCAGACTTTTGTCCGGTTTTCCTATGAGTTTTTGTCAGTGAATCCCTCCCCCAATATTTCTTAGAAACAAATTCGGGGCAGCTAGATGGCGCAGTGGATAGAGCACCAGCCCTGAAGTCAGAAGGACCTGATTTCAAATCCGGCCTCAGACCAGACACTTGACAGGTACTAGCTGTGTGACCCTGGGCAAGTCACTTAACCCCAATTGCCTCACCAAAAAAAAAAAAAAAAGAAACAAATCTACTTCTCAGATATGAAAATGGCAGGTCTAATCTGACATCTTTGGAGGAAAAAATGAATTCCAATAGGCTGATCATGTTATATTATCATTAACATCAGTATTATTGCCTACTCTCCACTCCTGACTTATATTCTCTTTCTGTTCTAGGTGGAAAACATCATCAGGTTCAGGTTAAACATGTCTCAACATTCAGGCTGACAGTCAAGGCATCATTGGATAATCCTACCTCTCCCCATCCCCTCCTCAGGACTGGATGACGCCAAACACCGAGGACAACTCCCTGAGGAACAGTTCGCAGCATGACCACTTAGCCTCTTGACCAGAAGGCCCCGCCACCCCCCCCTGCCCTGCTCCCACCTCCCCATCCCAGGTGGTGAGGGAGTGAAATTTCAGAGCAGTGGGGGGTGGCAGCAGTGGAGGTGGGGGGAAGGGGTGGGTGGGCTGGGGGGGAATCGATTTTGGCGCCAGGTTGAAACATTTTCCCAAAACAGTTCTGCAAAATGACAAGCCTGTTCCGTAGGAGCAGCAGCAATGGTGGGTCCCGGGGTGGGGGGAGCGCCTCGGCCCAGGAGCTCAACAATAGCCGGCCTGCCCGGCAAGTCCGGCGCCTGGAGTTCAACCAGGCCATGGAGGACTTCAAGACCATGTTCCCCAACATGGACTATGACATCATTGAGTGCGTGCTACGTGCCAACAACGGCGCCGTTGATGCCACCATTGACCAGCTGCTGCAGATGAATCTGGACGGGAGCAGTTATGATGACAGCTCGGACTCAGACGACAGCATCCCTCCTGAGGTGAGGGGGCTAGCCTGTGCACCTCGGTTGGACACACTAGCTCTGTTTAAAAAAAAAAAAAAGAAGAAAACATACCTAAATCAGTGCAGCGTGTAGATGTCTAGAGTCAAGAGACCTGGATTCAGACCTTGACTCTGAAACTTATTAGCTGTGTGACCACGGGCAAGCCAAGCTTCCCCGAGTCTCGGTTTCCTTACCTGAAAATGGGGCTAATACTTGTGCTCCTACCTGTCTCACAAGGTTGTTGTGAGGAAAGATGCTTATTATTATTATTTATTTATTTATGTATTTTAAACTTAAATACAGAATTATTATCTTTTAAAAATACATGAAGCAAAAGTCATATACCTCTCCATCAGGGTCCCACCTTTTCACACTGTATATCAGCCAAGTGATCAGTAACACATACAGTGCACCCATTGTAGACAGAGACCCCTGCTTGAAAAATGCATAGTATAAAGCATTAAGATAAGACACAGAAACGTGGGAAACAATTCCAGGATACAAAGAATGCCTAAACGAATGAAAATGGATGTAGTACGAGCTAGTCAGTTCAATGAAACAAACATTGTTACTGGCTGGGCACTGTGTTAGGCACCAGGGACATGAAGACAAAAATAATGATACCTGCTCTCACAGAACTTACATTCTATTCAGGGAGATAACTTGAGCACAGAGATAGCAAAACAGAATATGTGCACAGTAAATCCAACGTTAACTTCAGGGAGGTGGGAAAGGGCCCTAACAGCTGTAATAATAGTAGCTAATATGTGTAGAGCATGTTAAGGCTTGCAAAGGGTTTTCCATGATTAGCTGCCTTGCTCTGGACGTGGGTGAAGTGGCTGGCACTCGGTAGGTTTAATTAGGGAAGGCTCCCTGGTGGAGGTGACTTTTGACCATAGTAGCTAGAGTTTAGCATTTCTGCTCTTAACCTCCCTTCCAGTGCTCCTCAGGGCTTTTCTGGAGGTTCCAGGCTTCCTGCCCTTTGAGAAAGGTTCTGGGTTCCCTATATTTTCCCCTCAATTCCAGGTGCTTGGTGATATTTTGCCCTTCCTTGTTCTCCATCTTATCCTTCTCCCTAACCCTTTCCAGTCAATTGTCTAGTCCCGATAGTTCTTCCTTCACAGTGTCTCTGTCCCCTGATCTATGCCCGTCTCTCCTATTCCTCCCATTACCACTCAAATTCAGGCCCTCATTAACTTGTGTCTGGACTGTTATGATCACCTTTTAGCTAGCACCACCTCCAAAATCTCTCTTCCTCTTCCTATCTTCTCTAGGTTTTTTAAAAAACACCTCAATCTCTGCTCCAAAATTTCCACGGCTCCCTCTTGCTTATAGAACAAAGTCTGAACCCCATTAGTTCGACATTCAAGGCCTGCCACAATCAATTCCCAGCTTATTTTTTCTGCCTTATCTCCCACTGTTTCCCTGTTTAATCCATCTGCTCCAGCCAAACTGGTTCACCTACTATCCCTTTTCAGCTTTTCTCTCTTAATCATTCATTCTTCTTTCCCTTAAAAACATATAGCCACAGTCTCTAGACTTATCAAAATCCTTCTAATTCCTCCAGGGTTAGCTCAAAGGTCACCTCCTCCATGATCCTTCTATCCCATGGTACTGCCTCCTTCTTTTGAATTCTTGAATTTTTGAATTCTTTTGAATTTTGAAAACTAGACTGCTCCTATGCTGCCTACTTTCTGTTTACTGTCTTCTGCAGTGGTTATTTATCTGGAGTCTTATCTCCTCAATTAGATTACAAACTAAACTTCGCCCCTTGGTGTAATGGAGAGATGGCTAGGTTGGGAAGCAAAGGACCTGGGTTCAGTTTCTGTTTTAGGCACCTATTTCCTGTCCCTCTAACTTTGGACGAGTCACTTCCTTCTCTAGGACTCAATTTCCTTCCCTATAAGATGAGGTTGGTTGGATTAAGTGATCCCTAAGGTCCGTTTCAGTGCCAGGTCTATGACCCTAAGCTTCTGGTGGACAAGAACTAAGTCTCACCGTTTCTGGAGGTCTTTTTTTGCATTGCTCTGCCCACTGTGAATAAAAGTTTTCCAGAGTCCCTTTCCCTGCTTCCCTAGGGACACCCTTGCTTGCTATCAAAAATGCCCCCCAGTTTAGGGGGCCACATCAAAGATCTTGAACAGGCAGAGACGCAAGATGTCATCTAGTCCAACACCTTCATTTTAAAGATGAGGAGATGGAGGTGCTCGGGGTCACACAAGTAATAAGCATTATAGGTGGGATTTGAACCCCATGTTCTTTCCATCGTCCCACTGGCTCCAAGTCAGAAGCACACTATTCTTTGTGGAGAGGTGTGTGTGTGTGTGTGTGTGTGTGTGTGTGTGTGTGTGTGAGAGAGAGAGAGAGAGAGAGAGAGAGAGAATTCAACTTAATTCAATCAACACGTATCAGATGTTGACTATGTGCAAAGCGAAAGGCTAGGTATCATTTACTATGTTGATTTTGAAAGGTGCTTCTCACTCTAATCTGACAATTTCCGCAATATTGATTTATTTTAACTTAGCTGAGTAGATAGGGTCATATTTCTTTCTTTTTTCCCCCCATCCCATAAAATATCTTCCAGACCTTCCCACAGTGACCTTTGTCCTATTAATGATGCATAGAATAACCTAGCATGATGAGAAAGTGGGAGAGGCTAGGCCTGGCTGTGCTTTCTACTTGTCCTAAGATTTTTTGCTCTACTTGAATGAATGGGCTCTGTGCCCCACCTTCTCAGCAAAGCTCCCCCTCTGCTCCCATCCTTTGATGCTCTCCCCCCACCCCATCACTTCCCAGCTCTCCTCTGTGTCCATTAGTTGGCCTGGATCTACTGAGCCAGCTCAGAGTCCTTCAGTAAATTTATTAGCAGCAGCTGGAATGACAATAACTGCTGACTGTAAGCCTCCCTCCCTTCCCCCAGGGGCTGATGGATGGTGTACTGGGCTGTGGGGTATCCTTGCCATTGAAAAATATCACCTGTCAGGCAAACGACAGAAAAACAAGCCATCCTAGAGCATCTGGCATCCATTTATCACTCACGCTGAGTTAAACAAGAAGGTTGCAAAGCCAAAAGCTTCAGCACATTTTTGAACCAGAAGAATAAACATATTGCTCCAGGGAGGGAGGCAGGGGGATTCCAGAGATGGGAGCCGGATTAGCATTGGCCGTAGGAGTGCTGCTGGAGCTCTTATGGTTTCTCGTTCGCTTCTCCTCCAAATCGGGGCCAGGGCTTAGGCCCCTCTGGTAGGAGCATCTGTTTTCTGCTGCTCTGGGAATGAGTGATACTAATAAGCTCAGGAGCCCTCAGGCTGGAGGCCCTGGGAGAGAGAATCTGATTGCAGCTTCAAAGCTACCAGTCCTTTAGAGAGCACAATCTGATCCTGGCTAGGTTCCTTTAGGAGGAGGAGTCTAGTTCATCAGCCTTTCTGAGGAAGGGCAAGAGAGGCTCAGCTTTCTGGGGGTGGCGATGATGGGGGGATGGGAATAAGCAGCTTCCTGACCCCCTGATCCCCAGGGCAAACAAAAGCAAACTGGCCCCCAAAAGGAGCTGTCCCAGGTAGGTAGTTCATTTACAAAGGAAGAAAGGGGTGGGGGTGTTCTCCTATGAGTGGACTCATGGCTCAGTTTATCATCCTGACCTATCCTGATGACTCTGAGACCAAAGAGGGCAAGATGTGTGGGAAGCCAGCAGCTACTGATGGTCCAACCCCTCCCCTTCTTAAAATATTGGCATGGAGCAGACCTGGCCAGCTAAGTGGTCAAGTTCATTCTTGCTTGTGAAAACAGCTGTGCAAATAGTTTCTGTCTCGAAGGAAAAATGTTGGTGCATTCCATGGGACAGCCAGTGTTGCATATCCATAGGCACTATCATATATGAGAGAGAGAGAGAGAGAGAGAGAGAGAGAGAGAGAGAGAGAGAGAGTGTTCTCGAATGCTGTGGACCTTTGTGTATGTTTCACAGCAGGACTCAGCACTGTGTTTAGGAAATCCTGTCCCTATCCACATCACCCCCCACAAAGAAAATCCAGTCTGCCCCCGTTCTCAGGCTCCCACGACCCATGGCCAGACTGATCTTGCAAAGGCAGAAGCTGAGATGGTCAGTAGGTAGCTTTAGGGAGTAAACCAGGTAAAAATATCATTAGAAGGGGCAGCAAGGTGGCGCAGTGCCTAGAGCATTGGCCCTGGATTCAGGAGGACCTGAGTTCAAATCCAGCCTCAGACACATAACACTTACTAGCTGGGTGACCCTGGGCAAGTCACTTAACCCCATTGCCTAGTCAAAAAAAAAAAAAAGAAAAGAAAAGAAAAGAAAAAGAAAAAAGCAAAAAAAAAAGCAGCATTAGAACTTAGGACCTTAACACCTTAGATTCATTCAGTGTCTTTCAGTTTGCAATGTACTTACTTTCCTTCCAGTGATCCTGTACAGGAGGGTGGGTAATACAATGATTATCACAAACACACACACACACACACACTAATACAGATAAGGGAAACCAGTTGAGAAGTTGAATGTCTTGGCCATGATTGCGTACCTACTAAATGGCAGAGCAAAGACTAGAAACCAGAACTTTACAGAGTGCTTACTGTATGTCAGCAACTGCTAAAAACAAAGGCAGAAAGAGCCCTTGCC